GTGTGTATGTGTGGGGGTTGTTTTGTTGTTTTCTGTGTAGGGATATTTTGCCTGTATGTATGTCTGTGCACTATACGTCTTGTGCTCACATAGACCAGAAGAGGGCATCACATTCCTGGGACTGGAGTTACAGGTGTTTGTAAGCTGCTGTGTGGACTCTGGGAATCAAACCTGGGTCTTTTGGAAGAGCAGCCAGTGCTCTCTATCATCTCTCTGTCCCTGATTTGTTGTTTTCTGAAGACTCCTGATATTGTTCAGGCTGGTATCTTAACTCCAGAACTCAGCTGTGCTCCTGCCTGAACTTCCCACATGGTGGGTTACAGGTACAGGCCATGATGGCCCACTCCAGCTTTGTCATGTTGCCCCATCTGGCTGCTTTCTACGTCTTCACATAATCCGTGGATTATTAAGTTAGTATGGCACGTGGCCCAGGAGACTCGATAAAGTTACCAGTCCCTAACCATTACTCTCTTTTCATGGATGAGCAGGTAGTATCCTTAAGAGGGAAATGCTAAAGGACCAGAATGACACTGGGGAATGCCTATCAGCTTTCCCATTTTACCATTTGCTAAGAGTGAGAATTCTGTTCACTGCATACGCATCACCCTTTTCACCAGAAAAGACCAGGACAGAAGCTGGAACTAGGAAATAGAGGACTCTCAAGTTTTTCCTAGCTCATTGTTCTGCAGCAATTAGTAATACTCAGTCATTTCATGGGGAAAGTTTATACCCATTTCTAGAGTACACAGTATCTCAGTAAACAACTTTCTTAGGGAATTAGCTCACAGCTCATACACTCTCATTTTATCCTCCCAGTTCCCTCCGTTGTACATAATAACAGTTAATAACTATGTTGATCTGTTAATTAGGTTGTTTGTTTGTTTTGCCACCAACCCCAGCAGCTGTATGGGGAAAAGCAATATTGCCTCATTTTATGTTCATGGTACTAAGCACAATAGCCTGCCCATAATAAAAGCTAAGTATATATCTGTAAAATAAATGAAAAAGTGAATAAGGGATAGTGAGACAGCATAGGGTAAAAGCATTTGTCACCAGGCCTGATGATCTGAATTAGATCCACAAGCCACACATGGTGGGAGGAGAGAACCAACCCCTGCAGGTTGTTCTCTAACCTCTATATCTAAGCTGCAGTGTGTGCATATGCACTAAATGTAATAAAAAATGAGCAAATAAATGAACAGAACAGAAAAATACCTTGTCATCAGTAGGTATGTTCCAGTTGATACCTCACTGATAATAGAATGACCTGGGGAATGGATAACATTCTTTTCTAGGTACCTCAGGCTTGTATAGAATATTCTGAAAGTATTGTAGATATGCAGTGTACAATAATACACAATAGGCTCAGGGGCCTCACTCTTCATAGAGATGGGAACACGAAGTGATTCTCACAGAATGGAAGCACTTAGTCATAATTTCCATACGCGATAAGGACAAGCTGACTGCTCAAATTATAGGGGCATTAATTTGTTGTGTCATAGCAGCAAGATCTCTTCCATTATCCTCCAAAGGATCAAGGGCAGAGCAGAGGAAATCCTAGCAGAGACCCAGTGCAGATTCAGAGCTAACTGGAACACAGTTGATCAGGTCTTCACTTTGAGGCAGCTGGCACAAAAATATAAAGAATTTGGAAAAGACATCAACTTCAGGAAGGCATTCGATAGCATTTGGAGGAAAGGACTTTGGGAAACAGTGAGGTTCTACAGGTACCCAGAGAAAATCATAAGAATACTAGAAAATACCTATAAAGATACCTTTGCATCAGTCAAAGTCTGCGGAGAACTAAGTGATCAGTTTTAGACAGTGGTAGGAGTGTTGCAGGGATACGTCCTCTCCTTACTACTCTTTAATATATCCCTGGAATTAATAATAGCAACAGCCCTGGAAGATGAGATAGGCATGCAGATGGGTGGTGTGTGAATCAATAACTTGAGTTTCACCAAGAATACAGTGCTACTTGCTGAAAGTCCAAATAAGCTGCAGGCCATGGAAAATAGAGTGGTGGAAGTCAGTGAAAGCCTTGGTGTGAAAGTAAACGTCTAGCCGGGCATTGGTGGCGCACGCCTTTAATCCCAGCACTGTGGAGGCAGAGGCAGGTGGATTTCTGTGAGTTCAAGGCCAGCCTGGTCTACAAGAGCTAATTCCAGGACAGGCTCCAAAGCTACAAAGAAACCTTTTCGAAAGAAGGAAAGAAAGAAGGAAGGGAAGGAGGGAGAGAGGGAGGGAGGAAGGAAGGAAGGAAACATGGAGAAGACTGAGATACAACACTTGGGAAAGGAAAACAAAGATTTTAACATTGTAATAAAGAATCAGAACCTCAAGCAAACAGTCAGCTTTGTCTATCTGGGAGGAAACCTCAGTTCAAAGGAGGGAACTATTTCAGATGTCAAGAGGTGGATAGGGATAGGGAGGGCTGCATTCCAGACACTAAGAGAGGTTTGGTCAGCAAGAGACACAATAACAACAACAAAATTACAAGTCTATGAGACACTTGTCTTGAGCTGACTTTACAACTCTGAAACCTGGATGATGAAGCGCTCCTCAGAACAGCGGCTGATGTGTTTGAGATGGCATGTCTCAGGAGGATTCTAGGCGTCGATAGGCTGCACAATTATGACATTAAGAAATAGCTCCATCTAAAGAAGGAAGTAAACTAAAGGATATGGCAATGGTACTTGAGATACTTCGGCCATGTTTGAGAATGACGGCAGATACCCAAAGATAACACTGCTTGGAAGAGTGCATGGGATAAGGCGAAGAGGAAGACCCAAAAGATACTGGATAGACAGCATAAAGGAAGACTGGAACCTTGGGTATGACAATACCACAAGCATCTAGGTCTGCCCAGGACAGGAACAACTGGTGAACCGCTATAAACGGGCTGCCCATGCATCCTTAAGCATTGGTAGGCAAAAATAATGATGATGACAGCAGATATGAGTAATTATGTTAAGTGTGTGGCTTTTATATGTCCGTAAGTGTTTGTAAATTAATGGCATTTATTGAATACTGTCTTAAGTATTTTTAGTGTGTTGTGGTAGTTTGAATAGCCCCATAGACTGATGTGTTTGAATAGTTGGCCTACAGAGTGTGGCACTATTAGGAAGTGTAGCCTCACTGAGGAGCTGTGTCTCTGTGGGGACTGACTTTGAGGTCTCATATGCTCAAACAGAAGGACTCCTTCTGCTTCCTGTGACTCAAAATGTAGAACTCTCAGCTCTTTGTTCAGCACCGTGTCTGCCTGTGTGCCTGCCATGATGATAATGGGCTAATCCTATGAATTGTAAGCTAGCCCCTTTTAACTGTTTCCCTTTATAAGAGTTGCCTTGGTCATGGTGACCCTTCACAGCAATAGAAACCCTAAGTAAGACAGTGTTGTCTTGTTAATTCGTAACAAAGATGTGAAATACTACAATGCCAATATTTTATATGAATTTACTGAGGCTTAGAGAAATTAAGTATCTTGCCTTGGGTCCTAATACTAGTAGGTATATCATAAGAATGTGTTTTGGGGGCTGGAGAGATGGCTCAGCAGTTAGAACTGGCTACTTTTCTAGAGAACCTATTTTCAATTCTAAGCACCCATATAGCAGCTCACAACTAAGTACTCAGGCACACAAGTAATATATGGACATACACATATATATGCAACTAAAGCACCCATATACATAAAACTTTAGAAAAGAGAAAAGAATGCGCTTTCCCACTCCTGAGTGCTGGATATTGGACCTGGAGCCTTATGTGTGCTGGCAAATGCTCTACCACTAAGCTCCATCTCCAACCCCAAGTATGGGAATTTGATTGTGCCTTTAAATTATAGACACTGCAAATAAAAATTATGTTTATTGTTGTTGTTTGTTCGGTTGGTTGGTTGGTTGGTTGGTTTTTTGAGACGGAATTTTTTGGTGTAACAGTTCTGGCTATCTGGAACTCACCCTGTAGTCCAGTGTGGCCTCAAACTCACAGATCCACCTGCCTCTGCCTCCCGAGTGCTGGGATTAAAGTTGTGTGCCACCGCGACCTGACTGAAAATTATAAATATTGTTAACAGTGAAAAATCACTTATTGCACACAGAAAGCTATTTAGCATACTCAGGCCTGGAATAGCATTTACTATATTTTAGAGGCCCAGATCCTTTCCTTCCTGTTGCTACTAACCTGCTCCTCTAGCCTCATGTTTGCCAGATAGCCAAGTCTCTGATGTTGTATCAGTTCCCAGGAAGGAAGAATGGTGAAATTTCTTTTATATAAAATTCTTGGAAACTTCATTAGGTGACTTGTGCTGTTATCTCATTGGCAGAAATCACATGATCAACCTTTATACTGATTCTAAGAAAATGAATATCGATGGCTTTTTTGGTATTGTTCTGGATCTTTTAGATTCTGCCAATATACCATCAAAAATATAATATACTAAGTGGTATGTGACTGGCAAAGGTTGAACATTTTTTGCCGAAGAGTGTAGGCAGTGAGGGAGCTTTAAAGGTTAGGAATCGTGATCACATTGTGCTTTAGATACACTTGGCTGGCAGAGAGGAGTGGGGTGCAATACAGAATAGAACAGGATTAGTCTTTGGGAGACTTACCTAGCCAAAAACTCTTTGAGTTCTAAATTAGGAAAATGTTTATAGAAATGAAGGGAAGACTAAAGGTTCCACTAAGAAGCAAATGCTAATTCAGTCTGTGGGGGTAAGAAAAAGGGTTACAGGTCAAAGATGGTTCAGATTCCTTGAATGTGGTGGCAAATGTCCATAATTTTAGCACTGGAGAGTCTAAGGCAGGAAGATTATGTTTCAGAACAGCCAAGGGTATAATGAGATCCTGACTCCAAAATAAAGTAAAAGTACCTCTGAAATTAGGATGGGGGTTAGTATTAGTGTTTTGAGAATTACTCTTCAGTTGGTTTCCTTTTTTAAAAAATCCCCAAATTTTAATTTTTTTTACATAAACCAAAATAATTATTTCATGTACCCTGACAGCAGGAAGATGCACTAGCACAACAGGCCTTCGAAGAGGCTCGAAGAAGAACTCGTGAGTTTGAAGATAGAGACAGGTCTCACCGGGAGGAAATGGAGGTGAGAGTCTCACAGCTGCTGGCAGTAACTGGTTAGTACTTTCCCCAAACTCTCAGGCTATGTTTGTGATGTTTATGCATAATGTTTTCTTTAATGGTTTAATTTTGTCTTTTATTTATAAAAATTATATATTCTTGCTTGAATTTATTATATGCAATTGCTGTAAAAAATGTAATTATTCTAATCTTAAGGTTGTGTATTGATTTCTCATTGATCTTCACAAAAATAATAACAAGGTATATTTTCTTTTCAGTCATTGATTTAAGTACCTTTGCTCAGTCTGTTGCTGCCTCCAGTTTCTAAGCACTGCGACCACAGTTGTAAAGGTGCCTCTTGTCGATAGTAGTTCATTATCAACACATAGTTTAAAACATTACTAAAAACCCTGGGAGCTTAATACTAATTTCTGCTTTTCTATGCTATTTTTCTTTCTTTTGAAAATTACCCAGGTAGGTTTTTTTGGTTTTTTTTTTTTTTCAAATCCTAGCTATATTTTATTTTTTTTTAATCCAAGCTGTTCTTTAACACTTGTGTTGAGCCTGGCTAAAAACCACATATAGCATAGGCTAGGTCAGAGGACTTGCAGCCATCTCACAAAGTGGTTAGAGATTAAGTAGAAACACTAATCTCCTAGTATTATTTAATGCAAGGAAGTTAGGAAATGGAAATAAAGACATGTAATATAGTCGGAAATATAAATGGAACCAATTCAAAAATCTCCATAGCAGTTCTGAAATTGACAATGTATGACTTTGGTTTACCTCTTTGTTATATTGCTGTATTTGTTGTATTGATGTTGATATTCAACTTTCATCCAACAAATACAGCAATATAACAAAGAGGATGAAAGTTGAAAACCAGGTAGGTTTTTTTGTCTTATTTTCTCATAGTGCTGGGCGTTTAATCCTGGACCTGAGGGGAGCTAGGCAGGGTGCTTTATCACATGAGCCGTATTCCCGGTTCATCATTTTGAAATAGAATAGACTTTGTCGTTTATGTGACCCTTTAGAGGGCAGCTTAATATTTTCAAAATACTTTAAGAATGGCGTTAACAGAATACACACACACTTAGGGACTAGAGAAGTAGCTTGGAAGTTAAGAGCACTTGCTGCTCTTGAAGAGTGTCCAGGTTTGGTTCCCAGTACCCATGTGGCAGCTCATGACTGTCTGTAACTCCAGTTCCAGAGGATCCAGTGCCCTTTTCTAATCTCAGACACACACCTAGTACATATACAGACAGACAGACAGACAAATAGACAAAGCACTAATCAGGAGCTTTTGGAGCCTGTCCTAGAACTAGCTCTTGTAGATCAGGTTGGCCTCGAACTCATAGAGATCCACCTGCTTCTGCCTCCTGAGTACTGGGCTTAAAGGCATGCGCCACCACCGCCCGGCTCTAACTATTTTAAAAGTAAAATTTGTATGTCACAGCAATCCCCTCTGTATGCACGTCTGGTTATAACCTCACTGTCCTCAAAAGTAACCATTATCTCATTTTTTTATGGTAACTCCTTCCTTCTGTTTCGGTATAGTGTTAGTGTCTATGAGTTTAATCTACCTATATAAAATTCTTTCCTGATTTAAATATACTTCAGTTAGAAATGTTAATATTTAACAGATACACTCCTAGGAAATACAAAATCTCTGTCTCCTTCTGCCTCCCTCTCCACCCCACCCCCTTCCCGGTGCTAGAGGTTAAGCTCCCCTGCCCAAGAAATGAAAACTTTTAAAAAGCAAGTAAAGCTGACCCAATGGTAGTGGGTCATCAGTATTAATAGTCACGTCACTAAAGTTGTACTAAACCTACACTACAGAATTTGACTGGCATTAAGGGGTTAGGGGGTGAGAGAGAGGTGGCTCTGCCTTTAAGAACACTGGCTGCTCTTGCATAGGACCTGAGTTCAATTCTCAGAACCCACATGGCAGTTCACAACTGCCTATAACTCCAGCTCTAGGAGTCCAACACCCTTTTTCTTTTTTTTTTTAAAGTAATTTTATTAAATTATAAAAAGTTTCCATTTACGCCCCTCCTCCCAACACCCTCCCACTCCCCCCTCCCTCTCCTCCTCCCTCTTTGTCCCCAAGGGCAGTCAGGGTTTCCTGCCCTGTGGGAAGTCCAAGTTCCTCCCCCCTCCCTCCAGGTCCAGGAAGGTGAGCATCCAAACAGACTGGATCCCAAAAATCCAGTATATGCAGAGGAAACCAGTCCCAGTGTCATTGTCAATGGCTTCTCAGAAAGACTCCAGGCCAGCCACATTCAGAGAATCCGGCCACATTCAGAGAATCTGGTTGGACCCTTTTTCTTACCTCTGTGGATTTCTGTACACATGTGGTGCACAGGCATACAATCAGGCACGAACACATAAATTAAAAAAATATAAAAATAGCTGGATGTAGTGACACACACCTTTAATCCCAACACTTGGGAAGCAGAGGCATGGGAATCTCTGACTTCAAGACCAGCCTGGTGTACAAAGCAAGTGACAGCCAAAGCTGTTACACAGAGAAACCCAGTTTTGGATATATTAAACAAGTAGTTTTAAAGCAAGAGAGACTAAAGCAAATTTGGGTTACCAGCAGCCAACCACCTCTAAGTCTAAGGGGACTTGATGACCTTTCTGTAACCCTAGCAGCTGAGAGACATATGGAATTTGGGGCAAGCTGGCTATTTAGAATAGCCAAATTAGTAAACTACAGGTTAGTAGTAGACCCAGCTTCAGCAATAAAATGAAAAGTGATCAAGAAAGATAACTGATAACACACAGATGTGCACAGTATTAAGTGCATGCACACGCATACACAAAGTATTAAAAATACAATTACGTCTACTGGAGTAATTTGAGGGCATTGAAAATCCATATTATGAAGCTGAGATTATGATGCTGAGCATGGTATAGCTCAACTATACTTCTAGAGCTCAAGACGCTGAAACAGGAGAATGGCCACAGTTCCAGGCTGGCTAGGGCTGTATAGCAATCTCAAATGAGAAAGGAAGAAGGAGGGCTAGAGCACTGTTTACTCTTCCAGAGGACCTCGGTTCAATCCAGGACTCCTGTGACGTGACAGCTCACAGCCATCTGTAACCAAGAGCATCAGACACCAAGGTGGTACACATAGATGTGTGCAAAACACCCATGTGCATAAAATAATGTTTTTATTTTTTGGGTTTTTGGTTTTTTGTTTGTTTGTTTGTTTGTTTTGAGACAGGGTTTCTCTGTGACTTTGGAGCCTGTCCTGGAACTAGCTCTTGTAGACCAGGCCGGTCTCGAACTCACAAAGATCCACCTGTCTCTGCCTCCCGAGTGCTGGTATTAAAGGCGTGCGCCACCACCACCCGGCAAAATAATGCATTTTTAAAAGTCATTTTTATTACTTAAGGTAGTCACAAAGTAAAATGATAGTGACGCTTTTAATGGGTATAGAGTTTAAGTTTTGCAAGATAAAAAGTTTTAGACATTTGGTGCACATCAATATAAGTATACTTAACACTACTGATGTTGATGAAAATGGTTAAGATGCTATACGTATTTTAACACAATTTAATTTTGTTTCTGCTTTTTTGAGATGAAAGTCTCACTGTGTATCCCTGGCTGTCTTAGAGCTTACTGTGTAGACTAGATGCTCCTGCGTCTGCCTGCAGAGTGCTGGGATTAAATGTATGCCCCACCACCACCTGACTGCAATTTAATTTTTTAAATGCTTTTGTTTTTCAGTTTTTCAAGGCAGGTTTCTCTGTAGCTTTGGAGTCTGTCCTAGAACTAGCTCTTGTAGACTAGACTGGCCTCGAACTCACAGAGATCTACCTGCCTTTGCCCCACCTGCCTCTGTCTCCCAAGTGCTGGGATTAAAGTCGTGAGCCACCACCACCCGGCTGAATTTTTTGTTTTGTTTTGTTTTGTTTTTTAACTCAATGTTGAATAATATAGAAAAAATTTCAAGCACAGAAACTACTTATATACTGTTATATACTGTGATTTAGAGTATGACACAGGGAGGGAGTAGTGTGTGTGTGTCCACAACTGGAGCAAAAAGGAGAGTTCTGACTCTGTCACTTACTTTGCTACCTGCGATAGTGTGCTTCACCTTTCTAGGATGAGTTTCTTCATGTATAAAAGGTGTTTAATAATACAATATCTCAGATATCTGAGAGTTGTGGTGAGGATTAAGTGAACTAATTACATGTGAAAGTCGTTAGAATATGTCACTAAATTAATATCAACTGCTGTCATTATTTCCTTTTCTGTTTCCATATTGTATCTGTTTTAGAATAATTCTAACATCTAATATCAAGCCTATTCAGTGGTTACTTTGTGGAGTTAAGTAAGATTCAATGTCTTTTAATGATTGATAATTCCTTTGTTGAGTTAGTTTACCTAGAGGACTGAGTCTATCCCTTGAAATTTTAGCCAGGATAGTATAGAGGGATAGAGACAGACAGACAGACACGAATACCTGGGGATATCTTGTATGTGCGTGTGTGTTTGAAGCTTTTACAATTCTTTTGTTGTTGTTTTGATTTTTTTTTTTTTTTTAAGATGTGGTTGTTTTGTGTAGCCCTGATTGTTCTGGAACTCACTCTGTAAACCAGACTGGCCTGGAACTCAGGTATCTGCCTGCCTCTGCCTCCTGAGTGCTGGGATTAAAGGTGTACATCACCACCATCCAGCGTACAATTCTCTTTTTTTAAATATTTATTTATTTATTATGTATACAATATTCTGTCTGCGTGTATGTCTGCAGGCCAGAAGAGGGCACCAGACCTCGTTACAGATGGTTGTGAGCCACCATGTGGTTGCCGGGAATTGAACTCAGGACCTTTGGAAGAGTAGGCAATGCTCTTAACCGCTGAGCCATCTCTCCAGCCCCCAGCGTACAATTCTTGATATTTTACATTTCTTACCAGTTTGTTTGTCGTACTCTGTGAAATGTGCTTTTTACCCCTTCATCAAGGGACCGACAGCTTGTTATGTTAGACCCTTCTCAGCTCTACCTAATCAGCT